AAATAACTGCCGAATTGCTTTGAACGCCCGCTCGATTTATGCCGAATCTAATTACAGCATAAAAAGAACCTAATTTAATTAATGCAACAATCTATTCGCTGTATACAATCAGGATGTTGATGTAATGAAAATTCGTACATATTATACAATGTAATTATTTAATAAGAGACAATTAAACATACTCGAGTCTATTTCCTTTTTCGTCGAGTAAACGTTGTATATCTTCCCCCCATTAGCCCCCATTTGGAGTTCCTCCTGCGCCGGCGATAGAGATCGTTTTCTCGGTTCTGCACGTGAACACCTAATTGTCGGGTTGCGGTCGCGTTTCTCCGGCGTTGTGTTTTTTTTTTCTCTCCACCATTTCTCCCCGTCTCTCTTCCTTTTCCTTTTCTTTAATTTCTATTACGCTCGATGGACGCGGAATAACGTGTTATTAAGGTCTCGGATACTTGCTGTGAGAATTATTCCTTCTATGTAATCAGAACCTCGGAGTGTTGTCGGTTATTTATTCTGCTTTTTCATTTTCTCCGGTGTAATTTTATGCATTTCGCCTTGTCATTACCGTAAGTGGTTTTTATTTTACGGAATTGGATTAAAATGTTTGCTAATTGTGTTTATCACGCACAAATAGACTTCCCGGCTGATAGTTAAATGAATTAATAAACTATATAAGTAGGTAGAGAAATAAATTAACTGATTATTGATTTGAATTTAGTAGTTTATAAAAATGATAATGCATAAATTAAGAAATTATATAAAAAAATATAAGACGTATATATTCATTTTTCAATAAAAATAGCATTGGAGTTGAATTTAATTAATTCCAATCAAACAAACGTAACGCGAGTAGGTAATTAAGAAGTTGATTACTGTATAAATTAAAATTACACATCTGTTAGTTAATAATTCTACCTTCAATTAGATAAACATTGAACAAGCTAATTGTACGTCTCGTACATTCTCTCGATATTAATGTTAAATGATACGTTACAGATAAACGATAATTATACCAGTCATCCAGCGCACATTAGTGAGTTTTCGTTATGCAATTAGATCTACGGATAGTTAACACAAGACCAATTAGGTAAATAGATGCATATTAAAGCCCCTTTGCGGATCGAACCGGAGCATGTACCGCATCATTTTTCTAATCATTATAATAATAACGCGCCGATTTTTCGGATGGAAAAGTGGAAAACAGTCCGTCCCACGGACCCAGGTCCGGAATTACCCTCAATATTAATGAACCGAAGACCGACTAAAGCCCTAATAGAAATTCTTTATGCGGCATCAATATTAATTAAGTTACTAATTGGATGTAGAGGAGGCGAGTCGGGTTTTGCGGCCGCCGGGGAATGCAACGGAAACTGTTTAGTACGAAGATAGAGTCGGGTCGATGTTAATCTAAAGTCGAAGATATGCGTAAAAAGAGAACAATTTGAATACTTAAATACATATCTAGATAGGCAATTTTGTAAATGTAAGAAATTATACTTTATAAAACGTATTTTAGTAGGTATATTTTGGAGGTAATTGATTATAAATTTGAGAGAACAACAAAAGTTGTAAAAAAAATATAAAAAATTCTAGTTAAGTACTAAAATGGTTCTAAATAATTTTGTACACTTCTTAATGATTCTTCACAGTTCTAAAGGCTTCTGTATAGTTTTAAATGATTCTGGGCAGTTCTATATAGATGAACTCTGTTATAAATTAATATTGAGTCCTAAACATTTTCAAGCTTTCTCTTGAGAGATATAACAATAAGATTACACTCTCTTTCTTGCACTAGTTTTGTGTTATTTTCATGTGAATCATTCAAACGGTTTAATTTTTTAAGTTTTAATTTGCACATAATTCTATAATTAAAATTAACATCAATATATTTCCAAGTCGAGCAATAATGGTAATAATATTTGCTCGTACAACAACTCAATCTGCATTGTTAATTGGCTGTTACGCTGGTGGTCTATTCGAAGATCTAGTTACCGGGGCGACGTTTTGTCTTCGCTTTGAGAGGATAATTAGAAAGTGGTCGGGAATCCCGGGGATTTTCGACGCGGATTAAGAACCGCCGATAGAGGTCCGATTAAGGGGGCGAAAATGTACAACTCCTTGTACGCCGTTTCGGTCCCGCGCGTTTTGCATAACCATTTGCATTCCAAATTTAATTCCCTCTTCTTCCCTTTTTTTTTTTCGTCCTCTCGCCGATGCTAGCGCCAATAAAATTGATAAACCGATAACGAGGATTAGCCGGGATGCGTGCGTATGCTTTGTGTCGTTCGAAAAGCAATTAAAAGGTTTTCGTTTTTATTAAATCGCGCGAGCGCGCCCGGAAAAAATCGTCGCGCTCAATGAACCATACGTTTCGAGTTTAATAAATCGTTTCGGCGTAGTGCGCACGTTGATCTAAAGATAATTTACCACTATCACGGTTTTCATTATACGGAACACTGATTACGTGCCACGACAATACCGAGTCGAGTTACACCGAAAACGAATGAATAAATACATCATTGTGTTAAGTTTTCACACGCATCCGTATACGCATGGCGGCGGATCAATTACCCTCTTTCAGAATTTTTACTGCGTATAAAATGAAATAATTTTAGTCGAAATCCGGTCCTGCTCGAATATATAGCATCGTCGCTCACCTCGTACAAACACATTCCGAATTCGGGGATTCGAATTTCGGTAGTATAAACAAACGTGCAGTTGACACGTTCCCAATATACCTACTTAAAAACTCGATGTTATAATGTTCGTAGTGACTTTAACCGGAAGTTCGCATCGTTAACAATTTTACAATTATTTTTCTCAGTTGATGCTTTCAATAAACAGCGTTTTGTTTATATTTGCATAAATTTATTGGTCGATACTTTATTGATTAACGACGGGGAAATGCAGGGAGACAGCACGAATAACTATTTTCCTTAAAGACAAACGTTCTGTTTCGTTTTCGTTATCAATCGGCGAATTCGAACGCGATAAAACCGCAAGTACATAGTACACATAATTCGTTCCGATGGAGTTTTAACATGAATTGTTTTATTTATTAATGCAAATGCCGGCATTAAGTAATATCCCGACGATATCACGTAATTTAAACGCGGGTTTATAAATATTTGTTAGGTTCACTTTTCGCGTTTTATATCTGATATACCTACTCCGATTGTGTTCCTGAATAAATGAGTAAATGTTGTAACTGATCATTCCTTGTTGGTATCGAGTCAATACAGCATGATGTAACTATACTCTTGCTTTTTATCGGCGAATCGTTCGGTAATTTGTCTTAGTCAAGTTGCCTTCTTTCCGAGAAATGCCGAGGATTAAGAAGCCAGGTAAAAATTAAAGAAACAAGAGTAGTAGAAGCAATATTCGCTAGGTATAATTCAAAATTATGGTGGAAGCGCGAGGTATTCGCAATAGATACCTACCTAATTGCCTGGATATTAAAATTGAAAATTTCCCAACAAACAAACTTGCATAACAAGTACCTAGCAACTTTAACGAGCACATTATTTAATTAGTGGCAAATTACTTATTAATTACCCGACCTCATCGCTCAACCCATCGAAAGTCTAGCCTAAAAACAAACGGCTCTCAAGTGAACATTCGACTAATCCCATTTACTCGCGAACACCGAAGAGGAATGTAAAAAAAATAGTTCTATTGTAATTTAGCTATAAAGTTTAACCTTTCACAAAACCTGCCTGAGATCTCTCTAATAACTAGTAGGCCGGACGAGGCTTTTGTTCTGCTAGGCCGGAGCCCGCACCCCAACCCACAAGATTTTATCTTACTCATATTCGTTTTTTTTTTGTCGACTCTTAGTTTTGCCCGCTGCGTACAGATCCAGCAAGCCGTGTACTGGCACCTTCGTCGAGTCCACGTTGACTCGACGAGCGGCTGTCGAGAGTTGCGAGGCAACGAACATACAACAGAGCGTCGCGATTGGCCCGACGGCGGCGCTCATTGCTCGGATCGGTCGAAATTCAGAAATATCGTTTAAACTGGGAGGAGATTTCGATTCTCGCCCGGCGACAGGCCGGACGCGGCGCTTCGCGAGCGCCGATTGGCCGGGACGTGTTTGCGGCGAGTCGAGTCCACGTGGACTGGATACCAGCTTGGTATACTGGCAATCAGGGCGCCATATTTATAAGGGTGAAAGGGGTTGAAGTAAAATCAGGCGAGTGGAACAAGGACAGATTCCACCTCTGTTTCAGCTAAAATGAGATGCTTTCTGCCAGGCAGCCATTTTGAGGGTAGTTTTTTTTCTGTTTTCTACTTTTTTTTTCCTACTTTTTTATAGTGAGCATGTACGGATCATTTTAGGGGTGAGAGTTGAGCAAATGTAGGAGCGCACCGACTAGGGGAATGCGCGATAATTCGCCCCCATATTCGCTTTAATTGTTTTCGCTATGAACCAATTAAATCGCGTCCCACATTCAACAACACGTCTTAACCCATCGACTTTCTAAGAAACTCGACGCGACTCACCCCCCTTTCGCGTCAACCCATATTGAATAATTAATAAGTCGTTTAATCGGCGGATTCTTTTATATGTGGGTTAGCGTCGATATCGCATTATAGATAGAGGGGTTGTAGATTTTTTTTTCCCTATAATAAGAAGCTCGGGATGTGTTTGCGGCTATAAGGGCGCGGTGGCGCGAGGGAGAGGAAACGGCGCGTTCGAGCGGTGGGGGAGACGAGCAAGAGCAAGTCAGTCGCTCGGTGAACGCGGTAGAGAGAGCACGCCCGAATCGCGCTTCTAAACATCGCCTCACACACACACAAACCTCATCTTCGACGGATTAACTTGGTGTGGATTACGATTCAGTTTCTTGCCCCAGTGCTTTTTGATTTTTGTTTAGCAGTGGAAGTGTTGTGCTTGCCTAATTTATCAGTGCGTTTCGCTGGGTTTTTGTACCGTGGGATTACGTGCCTTCGATTCGGATTATACAGTGCGTTTCGATTGTACGATGATTTGCTGACGTAAAATGTATCCGAGTGCTGGAATGAACGCAGCGGCCGCAGCAGCTGTGGCGGCGGCCCGTCATCCGGTAGGTTTTGGGGTCTAGCGCTTTCGGGCCGGATATTCTAACTTTAAGGCCAATGTTGGGATTGATACGGTTTTCGTTTACCGACGGAAAGTTACCGTCGCTTCGGCACGGGCGAATAATGTGCTCGCTTGCAAGCCGAGAACGAATTATTTATAACTTATATTTAGATATCATTCATTCGGAAATGGTGCCAATGCACTCTTTTATACATCGCACATGCACTTCAATGGGAATCGAGAAATAGGACAGTAAGTTAATAAAAGAACTCGAGTAACACCAAACATATCCTACCACGTGAAGTAGGTATACACAAACTAATTAAGTTGATTCCCGCATAAAAATACCAGTTACTCATTGGTTTCGAGCTCATTTGCCGGCCGTAATTTTTCCGATCGGTAAACGCTAATTACATCCTAATCGTAAACGCATACATCAGGGTTGAATATGTGTCATCATTAATACGAACACATGTAATTTCTCCGTAATTAGCGTCGACACGACAACGTCGTCGATTACATAAACGCCGTACAATATTGCGAATCGACGCCGCCGGTTTCTATTCTATAATAAGTAGCTCACGTTCAAGAGCCATGACATTGTTTCGCATATTTTTTTTTGGTATGCTATCCGCCGAATCGCCTTGATAAATGAGCGAATGCAAGCGTTGAAATTGATACGTTTGATCATGTGGTAAAAATCTTAAAGAGCGTGATGAAATTATTCATCGAGCGTTTATTTATTCATTTAATATTTACACTTGGATGTTCAATATAGGGTATTTTTGGTGGGTAATAGATTCGAAAAGGCACAACATCTGCGGTTCACTTTTGGTTGTATTACAGATTAGTGTATTATCTAGGTAAAGTATTCAGAATTATTATAGAAACGGAAACCTTCTTTCCCATTAACCTCGACTCTTCCATATCTACCTGCACTCTACTTGATGGTATCAGCATAAAAATGTAGGAGTAAATTATTCACAACCCCCCTTAATATCTTCAGAAGGTTTATTTATGTATAATATAAAAGATTTACAAATAGGTAAAAGATAAAAAAAAGGAATCCAGTAGCAGAACGTGTTTGCGTACGTTATACTTGATTCAATATTTAAACTATAAAGAGTCGCTTATTTTCTGTGCGACACCGTTCCGTAGGCACCATCTGCTGTCACGCACCATTACGGCGTACACGCATCCCTTATCGTCGAAGGAGAAAAGACAACCCGAGAAAAAAAAACCTTCCCTCCGTACCTGCGCCCTTTTATTTACGAGCCGGCCGGCTACCTGCACTCTATTTATTTTTCCGTTTCTATTCAAACACAAACTTCACAAGTAATTACTGTTCTTAGGAGCCAAAACAAACAAGAGTCACTTAAGACAGAACGTTAGTTGAATTTCGCAAGTAAACATGAACACACCTAAACAGGATAACCAAACACGAAATGTTGAAAACTAGTAATTACATAAACATGAATATTCATGCGCGCCTTTTTCTCGCTTTTTTTTCCCGCTTTACACCAAATTAAACAAACCGTAAAACCGCCACCGGTACTGCGAGCGTTGATAAGATAACATCGAAAACCTAGCTCCACTAGGTGTTAAAATAATACGCTCGTGAATTTTAACAATTTCGGTTCGAAAATTTAGGTCAATTATAGCGGGTGTTAATTGGAGTGAAACAAAGAGTTGACAAATTGAGGAAATCGCTGAAAAAAAGTTCACTTTACAATCGTCGAGATGCCAACAGGAGAATAAAAAAAAAGAGGACACTTGTGGTGCAGTCAATAACAAAATTTACAATTTCTATTCTTTATTGACAATTTACATCAAAGAGTAAGAGTGTACATTGTAACACTTATAACTAATACATAAATCAAGCAATAACTTAATTAATCTAACTCTTCTGCTGCATTTACTTTTGTGTTAGAGTTGTTCAGAGTTTTCTCTAATGATATGTGTCACCTCCTGCACCACCTATCTTCCTGTATTGCCTATACCTCCGTGTACGTGTACGTGTGTAGGTAAGTTGTTAATAATTAAGCAGATTCGTGTTTCGCATGTAGCTATAACATGTTTACTGCAAATTTATTCTCGAATCGAGCGTAGCGGAAAGAGAGAAGGGGATCCTGCGAAGGCAGCAAGCCGTCGCTGTCTAACCTGCACGTTGTGTCGCGACGATTTTAGCATATATTCCCCGATGTGTGTGTGTGTGTTTGTGTGTGCGTCGTCGGTGTCTCATACTAATACATCGAGGGTCGATGACTCTTCGGCCTGTGACTGTATTAATTGCGGATTTACACTCAGTTGAGTGGAGATGTTCGAATGATGTGTAAAACTTCTCACGTCGGTGCTGGTCTACTTTTCTGCGATTGCATTGAGAAACGTGTCGCAAACAGGTGGAGGGTTTTTTTCGCCCTTTGTAATAGTCTTCAAGCCGAAGGGTTCGTCCCCTACCCCCGAGGAACGAGCAAATATCAGTTAACCCTCTATAATAATATCCGTTGAAGTTTATGAGCGATAGTTGGGTAGATGTTTTTAGTACTTACACACCTTCCCCCTTTCATTTTATAAAGGGGACATGTTCATATACCTTTTTTTTTAATTCGAAACAATTTTATCGCAGTATAATAGATCCACTTAAAAACTTCAGTACAATGCAATCGAACTAATAAAACTCCTTAGCGCACCGAAACACTCTGTATATGTAGGTAATAAAAGCTTCCTTTTCGTCCGAGTCATGCTCATTGGAGTGCTCAACTCATTAATGCTCAGAGATACGGATACCCGAGGCGTAAGTAGGTGATATGAGTTATAAGTGTGTGTAAATAATGAGGGTTCTTTGTTCGATTTGTGCAATAAAAAAAAATAACGCGCCGAACATCTGCTAGGAATGCCAACTGTCGAAAAAGAAAATAAAAAAAACCGCGATGATGATGAGCGTTAATTCGTTGATTAATAATAATCAACAGTTTAATTGCCTTCTTAACGAAAAGTTACTTATTATTGTTGCTGATTCATCGTATCGACTGGTCCTGTTTTGTAGTGCCGTATTTGAAATGCTCTTATAATGGACTTGAAAGTGTTCATGTTCACTCTACCCCTGCTCTGGAGTGAAGTGTGAACGGTTTTATTGACGTTATAAATTACGGTATTTTTTTATTAGTTTATTAATCTGATTTGTTTCGACACGGTTTGTTTTTTTTTTCATTGGTTCGAAAAATAGTACTCCATTGATTCGAATTGAATTGTAAATACTTCAACAACTAACCTTGTTGTGGTAGATACATAATATTATATGGGTGCTTTTAGATTTATACATTAATTCTGCGAAAAGTTTGAGTGCCCACTCGAATTTGAAGCGTCGCAAAATTGATAAAACGTGTATTGAAGGTATATATCGTACAGTATTTGCATGTTTAACGCCGGCCGCGTTATTAGCACTTAATTTTCCTACGAAGGACTTTTTAAATGATAACACCTCGGTCTTTATTAATAGCTTTCTGTTATTCTTTACCAAAGGAAAAAATGCCACTTAATCTGTACACGTAGCTTTCGCTCTAATCCACTTACACGGCGTCCCCGAAAAAATATTAGCCGGGGCTTAAAATATTAAAATTCCATTCAAAGAGATTTCGAAACGAATTTTTACAGCCGTCCGTCCATCTACCTGCCGCTTCGGATCGGCCTTTGTAGCTCCCTGTAGTTCCCCCTGCCTTTCGAGGTGCGGATTATTTGCACTCGAATTCGCGAATTTAATCCCCATGCAAACGATTCGCAATAATTCACATAGTCTCATTTCATCAACGTGAGCCACCCCACCCGAATTTTTCTAACCGAGTATTTTTATATTTCATTAAATGGCGAGATTAAGTGCGAGTAATTTTTCCGTCCGCGGCAGTTCGAGGGTTAGGCATTATATTTAAATCAGCTGCTATTTCCTCGGGGCCCGACGAGGGTCGTTCGCCCTCTCGTGTGCACCGACCCTCGACGTTTCGGCTTAATTACGGGGTGTCTAACGCGCCGTGCTTCGTGCAATTAGGCACCCTACGCATCTGAGACCTCGGGGGTGTTTTTGTGTTATTCGATACTGAATGGTTTGAAACCTTAACTTATGTGTGTCCGATGCTGGGATTCGATGATGAATCGCGCTCTTTTTTTCCTCTACGTGCACTTACCCGCTTTATTCGCTTACAAGAGGGAGCACGGGAGTTTATTGAATGCGTTGAAAATTTTATAGGGTTAGATGAGGGTTGGGAAATTGCTCGCCGAGAAGTGCATTAAGTACCTGCATTAAAATATCTGGTAAATCTCTAGAAACGCGATAACATCTCGAAAATATATTCCAGCGTAATTACAAGGGTTGGTAGGTATGTGATTAGAATAAAAACGTCACGTGCACTGACAAGCCCAGCGGTTTATTTTATTATTTTTCCGTGACACGCGTTTTTACACTAATCGTCTTATCGTTCGTAAACATCTCCATTCGAGTGGACTTTCTTCGATTTCACGCACTCGAGTCTCGAAATTTTCAATTATGTAAACTAGTTTATCGTTAATCGAAATTTTTTCGACGATTAACCATTAGCTTAAGATGATACGATCGTATCAAATAAATTAGTTTAATAAAGCGATGCATTCTATTACAATTTACGAGAGATTGTCGCTGATTGATCGTATATTCACCAGGAAAAGTCCATCAAAAATATAAAATATGTAAATAAAATAAGTGAAGTCTGTAAAATACTTTATGCAAATTGTTTGGAATTTTCGAACGTAAATAAATAAATATAAATAAATCAATAAATTAAATTTATTGATAGAGTGTCGCGAGATAAGAATTTGCGTCAATAGGGATAAAATTAGCTTTCGTCTACAACTTATATTTACACAGTACTTGTATAAGTTGTAGAAACATTTTGACCAATAAGTTTGATTCACAATGTTAATATTTTTATCTGAATATCTAGCGATAAAGGCAGATAAAATGATTTTAGGCAAATT